GTAGGTAAAGAAAAGATGACTGACTAAAGCCTTCCTCGTAATAAAATTAAGTATTTTCAGAGGAGAAGCACTGCACAAGATAAATTATTTCTATCTCGTATATTAAAAGGGAGCATATAGAAAAAAATGCCTTCTCCCTTCAGCCAAGCGAAGCATTCAGTTTACAGAGATGATTAACCATGGGAATTTGCTGTGTATATTTTATTGCCACGTAATCTTCTCCAGGGATAGATGTGATCCTCAAGAGTGTTGGGGTCCACTTACTCGTTTTCCTCAAGTGCCCTTAATACCCACTTTCAGACTAATGGCCTCAGGTTTGTTGTGCTTTTCAGGCTGATCCTAATTTTCAGCCCTTCATTTAAAGAAACCCTTGATTGATACAGATTTATTTTTTTTAAATGCCATGTCTCTGGCTGCCTGGATAAATAAAGGAGCAAATGCTCCTCCAGCATAATTGAGCTTCTGCAAGTGGTTCAGCACTTGGCAGAGGCTTTGCCTCCATGATCATAGAATCACAGAATGGTTTGGGTTGGAAGGGACCTTAAAGATCATCCAGCTCCAACCCCCCTGCCATGGGCAGGGACACCTTCCACTACACCAGGTTACCCAAAGCCTCATCCAACCTGGCCTTGAACACTTCCAGGGATGGGGCAGCCACAACTTCTCTGGCCAACCTGTGCCAGTGCCTCACCACCCTCAGAGGGAAGAATTTCTTCCTTATCTCTAATCGAAATCTCCCCTCTTCAGTTTAAAGCCATTGCCCCTTGTCCTGTCACTTGTCAAAAGCCCCCCTCCAGCTTTCTTGTAGCCCCTTTAGGTGCTGGAAGGTCTCCCTGGAGCGTTCTCTTCTCCAGGCTGAACAGCCCCAACTCTCTCAGCCTGTCTCCATAGCAGAGGTGCTCCTGCCCTCGGATCATCTTCATGACCTCCTCTGGACCCGCTCCAACAGCTCCATGTCCTTCTTGTGTTGTTGTCCCCAGAGCTGAACGCAGCACTGCAGGGGGGTCTCACGAGAGCAGTTTACTTCTGCTTTTTTTGAAAAGGAGAGAATTTTCTGAACAAGCCAACAGAAGCTCTTCAATACAGATAAAGGGAAATGGGAAAACTCGTAATTGAGGTAATTAAGAGCTTGACTCTTGCTTTCTCTCCAAGAAAGGAAAAATCAATGGAGCACCTGGGCGGCTACATTGGTGCCGTCAGCAGGAGGGTGTGCGGGCACTCTCCTAGGCCAAGGCAGATGCCAGGGCACAGCACGACTGCACTGCCAGCTCTCACCGAGGGTGAGGAACAGGTATTTTCACTAGTCTTTAGAAAACCATCTCCTTGAGCGTGTCTCTGTGTATTGCCAAACTCCTCCGGGCACCTACTGCCCACCACGGCCTCAGCAACAGCAGTGGGCACCTTATCACCCACATCCCGCACTGCGGGCAGTGTCTGGCCATCCTGAAGCAGGTGAGAAGTCCTGCATCTTCCCCACCACGCCTGAGGCTGCAATAGGAGAGGAAAACTAGAAAGCAAGACTAGAAATAAGAAAGGAGGGTTGATTCCTGTGGGATCACCAATGCCTGAACCTGAGACGTCCTCCTGCCTGCTCAGGCAGCTTTTTCCAAGAGGAATGCTCATCACAGTTGACTGATTTTTTTTTTTTTCTCGATTTTGGGGCTTTCTCCTGCAGGAGCACTGTGGGTCCGCCTGGGACCTGGCGCTGTGCAAAGCCATGCTGGACCTGGGCTCGTGGGAAGGAGAGGGTCAGACTTTGGACCAACGTTGCGCCAGCAACTCCTCTATATTTTGGGGAGTTGGGAGCTTCTTAGATGAGAGTCCTGAAGCCTGATCAGAGCAGGCATTGTTCCAGTGTTATCACTGCTGTCTGCGTTAAATACAGATGTTACTGAGTCCCCAAGCCCTGTCCTAGATTACAGTGAGCTCGTTTTAAAATCTGGGGACTCTCTGAGAGCTGTCTTTTCATGGGGTTGTTTTCAGATCCTGAGCTGGGATTTGGAGATGTCCTCGGGGCATTGGGGCACATCCCTGTTTTTGATTACTGGTGAGGAAAGTAAGGCCAAAGAGGCAAGAAGAACCCTTTCTTCATGTTTCCCTCTCCAAGCAATCAAATTATTGCCTCTCCCGCTGGTGACTCTGGAAATTCCTCCAACGGTTGTGACTGCAGAGGACAGCAATTAAACTATGTCTCTGGAGCTGGAGAAACTCCAGGTTCATTTTCCTGGCCTGCCGCAGATTTCCTTCCCAACCTTGGGCAAGGCAGGTAGGATCCTGTTCCCGAGGGCAGCTCTGCCCAAATTTCTTCCCTTGATGCTCACAGACCTTGGAGCATCTGGTACCACGGTTCAGCCGGTTACGTGATGGACACGATGGCTTTGCCCCGGACACATCACGGAGCACGAGGCACTTGATGCTCTGACGTTAAGTCACATATCAGGACAGAAGGCAGATAAAAGTCTTGCGGGGACCAACGGGCTTCCCAGTTGGTGCTGGTGCAAGAGGAGGTCTGGATCCTCAGGCTTCGCTTCGAGAAGCTGCTTGGAAGGGGCTGGCGTGCTGCGGTGGGTTGCCGTTTGCTTGTTTGTTTCTTCGCAGCGTCTCTCTGTGTTGACATTTGCGCCAGGAGGTGATATTTTGGGGAGGAAACGTGAGCTGTGCAAATACTGCAGCGAGCTCCAGCTCCCAACTTTGCAGGGATCTGTCAGCTGGCACCACCGGCTGCTTCTCATTTCCAACTCGTCCTCTGCTTGCATGTCATTAGGCATGACACCGTTGACGTGTGCATGGCAAGTGTCGTGCATATTGCTGCAGAGTTGCCAAGAAGAGGCAGAGGAGCTGACAGCCAGCGCCTGTTCGCTCTCTGTGCAGGGACTCTGCAGCAGATGAGGCAGCTCCTCTCCCCATCCCTGCGGCTGCGATTAGAGAGCGCTCGGAACAAATCCCGCAGTCCGCCGTGGGATGTTCTCCGTTGCCGAGCCTGCCAGTGCGGCACTGAAGTCTATGGCACGCTGGAGGCATCCCGCAGCCGCAGCGTGGGGCTCGGTCGCAGGGGCATGGGTGGAGGGTGTTTTAAATCAGGGGTGGCTCTGCCTGAGAGTGATGCCCTGGGGAGTGGGTGCCTGGACGGAGTGGGTCGGACATCTTGTCTGAGCGGCTCGGGATTAGGGTCTGATCTCTGTTGTGCCCTGGTAAATCAGCAGTAGTTGTTTCTGAGGAGTTAGTGGCTGGAGGAGTCACTGTTAACTACCAGTATTTGGACTGTTGTATCCATTGGACCTCATTTTTCTCACGTAAAGAGTTAATTTCCATAGATGAATGGGAAAACTATTGCTGTAGGTAGAGGAAAGCTGCCACAGACCCATGCTGGGACCAGCTCTCAGCACGAGCCCATTAGTTCACTGGTGCAGTGGGGCTGGAAGCGGAGAACTCGGCCAAGACCGCCTGGGGAGAGGGCAGCACGTGAAGCTGGACGTCTTCTGGTCACCAAACTATAACTCATCATTCCAGCAGTC